GAGATATGAAGTGCACCCCACTAATGTACTTTTTAGCACCCAAAAAATTTTGTTTTAAAACTGCAATGTGACAGCAGTATTTGATGCTTCTATTTGACTCTCAGATATGAAGTGCACCCCACTAATGTACTATTTTGCACCCAAAAAAATAGACTTTTTAAAACTCCGATGTAACCGCAGTATTTGACGCTTCTATTTGACTCTCAGATATTAAGTGCACCCCACTAATGTACTAGTTTGCAGAATTATTTCCTAATCTGTCCCTGAAAGCGGCAGCATCCTCTCCCTGCACTAATAAGAGCTCATGTGACATACGGCGCTATGCGACTCCAGCTTATATATAGAGGCTGGGTCACATGCTGCACTGGCAAATCACAGCCATGCCATTAGTAGGTATGGCTGTGATGGCTTTTAAGGGCACACGAGTGAAACGCTTGTTGATTGGCTGCCCTGCAGCCTTTGAAAATTGCCAAATACCGAACTCCAACCCGAACATACAGTGATATGTCCGTGTTCGGGTCCGGGGTCCAAAAAACGTAATGTTCGGTACGAACCCGAACTTTACAGTCAGGGTTCGCTCAACTCTATTTAAGAATCAACTTGGATTCAGCGGTGATAAGGGCTCTCTTCCTTTTGGCCACATCCCCCTTAGGGCGAATCCACTCAATCCCCATGACCGAAATAGAGGAGGGATCACAATTATGAAGCAGTTTCAAATCACATGCTACAGATGATTTCCTGTCAATATGTGGTTAGTGGTTAGTCTGAAATATATACACCATGAAATAAAATAGAATAAAAGGTAGAAGGACTAAATGGAGAAGCTATAGATATCTAATCCAATTTGGATTAGAAATCTATAGCTTCTCCATTTAGGCCTTCTACTTTTTAGTCTGTTTTAGAAGGTAGAAGGCCTAAATGGAGAAGCTATAGATATCTAATCCAACTTGGATTAGATATTTATAGCTTCTCCATTTAGGCCTTCTACTTTTTATTCTATTTTATCTCATGGTGTTTTTATTTTCTGTTTTTCAAATTTTTATTTTTTATTTCTGATCATTATACTTAATGATTTGTAGAAATATAATATTTTTCTACAGCTATAGGTAAATATCATATTACATGAGTAAAAAAACTAAAAAATTTAGAGGGAGGATTACTCTTATGGATCAATATATGTAAAATAATTAATATGTTTTCATTTTTGGATCAGTTATATATAACCCAAGAAAGTATTTTTAGAACAATTATCTGTATAACACTTTTTTGGTTATTAGTGTAGGACAAATGCAGGACAAAATCAACAGAGAGGTAACTAGTTAAATTAATTCATTAATGTAGGTATAAAATTATGCTATTGCTCCTGTTTATAATCATTGGTATTGCTCCTTTAAATGGGTTAGACCAAAAACAGTTATATGGTTGTGTACAGAGACCCCTTCTCATAGTTTTCAAAAAAAAAATTATATGTATGTTTTTTATATGTATGTATTTATTTTATATGTACATTGTGGATCTATTGGTTTTCAAACAATATCTTCCTCCCTTTCCATACCCATCTGTTTCCATTTCACCAATTTGTTCAATTATGGACAGTTCCGCAATGGAACGCATGGTGGAACGCATAAGCCGCCATGCAAATAGAATGGATCAGTGGAACGCATATGGAACGCACGAATGATGCTCCGGACGTAACGTGATGACATTGAACACTCAGAAACAGGATGTAATCAAAATTTAATCGTGGACAGCCAAAACTACACAGCAACATCATATGGATAACATCAATGGACTGATTGTGGGGTGTATTTAAGAGGGAGGGGGGGGGGATGTATTTTTGTTCTTGTCTTTTGATTGAGAAGTAGTCCCTGAGGAAGTCCTTGAGTGGGAAGAAACGCGTTGGACAGATTTTACTTGTAATTGATGCAGATGGATTTTTACTACTGTGTAAGTAATACCATATTTTTATACTTTACTTCCATCTACTTTCACCTCATTTTGGATGCACTTTGTTTTACATGCTGCTGAGATCTGCTATACCAACTACTGAGAAAGAGACACAACCTGAGATCTCCAATGATTGCCGAATGCCTTTTTTATTCAATTAAAGTGTGAGTGACCCATTGGCACTAAAAATTACCTTGTCTGGGTTATACAGAGTTGCACTATGTTTTTATCTTTATTTCCCCTAGTTGGATTCACCCTATTTTGTTTGTATATTTTTTGAAGATTTGAGGAGATCTTCAGGTCATATCCATTACTAGAAGGGAAGATATATATATATATATTTACTGTTTATGAGCACTTATTATTCACCTGAACACTATACAGTTGAATTGGTGTGACTTTATAGCAATTTGTGTGTTGCAATGAATAATTAATTGTCTGTGATATAGTGAAAGATTTTGCACTTTATTCCAAAGTGCAATTTGTCTGAATTCAGACTGATCGAGTGACCAGCCTGATTCCAGTTTCTGAACTGCTACATGCCAGTATCTTGAAACAAACAGCTCATGCTAGCCCATATAGGCTCAGTTTGATTTGTGATTCAGAGAGTTGTTTCAGGCTCAAGAAAAAAGAGGAATAAAAAGCAGAAGAGGATGATTTCTTTTTATGGGGGGCAAGTAAGCATCTTAATTTTCCATGATAGGCAAAAGGTCTGCACAATCATAGGGGCTGTATCTCCTGTTCAATCAAAAGGTAGAGAAAAGATAATTGATGGTTAGGGAAGAAATTGTTGATTATATTCAATGATCAAGTAAGGACTGACCCGTAGAGGAGGAAAAACGAAGAAGTAAAACAATCTATACTTCCAAGCAGGATTCTTCCAGACACTTTGACTGCAGCTGTTAAGGGAGGAAGACCAGCAGTGATACCATGTATGTGAGTTAGCCCAAGTCATTGATTCTAGTGAGAGACTAGGTTTAACTTGTTGCTGTATCTACCAAGCTAACTTCTGCCAGTGGCACATCAAGCAAATTTGTGTGGGAGATAGATTACCATTATGTAATTGGTTTTAGAGGGAAGCTAGGTACTTCTGTATCTACATAGCTAGCAGTCCCATGCACTTAAAACAACTTTGAGTAGGAGATAGGAGTTTGCCACTGTGTCATTGATGTTAGTGTTACTTTTTTTCTTTTTGTGTACCGTTAGTAGAATCTTAAAATATGATATCTTAAAATTTGCTGATGGTGCTTTCATTGTTTAGAAATTCCTTTCATTGTAGTATTTTCTCCCATGGCTGAGTCTTGCTGAGTGACTACACCTAGTACCTCTGCAGATGCAGTTAGTAGAAGCTAATTGAGCACTGTTTTTTTTTTTTATTGTCATAGACAGATTTTCTGATTTTGCTGTGTGCTTGTGTGCCACTGCTGGTGCTTTGTAAATTGCAAGTTTCTTCCCTCAGTAATATACACAGTATATGTTTGCAGTTTGCTGCACAAGTGAACGCTGCCTACATTGAGTTTTTCAGTAGTAGTGTTGCACGCAGGGTAGAGGTAGAATCAGTTTGTGAAGCTTTTGCTTTTTTTCTGTAAGTGTGTGTGTCAAGCACTGAGCTTTGCAGTGAACTGTGTCAAAAGCAATAACATTGCAGTTGTAATAAATCCAAAAAGCAGCAGCCAGTTTTCCAAAACAAACAAAAGGCAGGGTGAAACCACTACAATTATAGGATTTTTTTTTTTTTTTTTTTTAAAGGGAGCAATAGTAGCATAGGCAGAGTATGGGGATTTTAAGGATAGATCCTGTAGTCAGCCAAAGGCCAGTTGGACTTCTCATCATCCCAGCAAAGTCTCCATCAGTCCATTCTTGAAAATGTTGTTGCATTTCATTCCATGGCCATGTCTAAACAGCAGCCTTACAAAATTGCCCACCTATTTTGACAGATTTATGGAGCTCCTACTATCCAACACGTCTTTAAATCTTGATGGCTGTGGTAGTGCTAATGGAGGAGGGCCAGTCTTACTGCAAACCTCTTGAGAATTGCATGAGGATTGCCTGGCATTTCCACCATTGTGTGAGTGCTAGCTAACTCTTGGGGCAGGAGCAAGAGAAAATTGGGATCCCTGTACATAGTCTATGAAAGGATGTCAGCAAGGTGGAACTTCACTTTAGAGATAGTGGAAAGAATTTTGGAACAGCAGAGGGCAATCCATAGTCTATCTTTCCACCACTTCATTAACATGGACCTCTTACTAGGGTGTCTGGATTTGACAACAATAGGGCAGCTATTGTCAGTTGTTATTTCATGTAGAAATGTGACAAAATGTTGAGCAAAAGTTATACCAGCTTGGGACACGTCATCCCCTTGTTCATCGCGATCACATGACTGGGTAGGCAGTATGCTAGGGGGACTGCCTGGGATGTCAGTCAATCTCTCAAATGGAAATATAAAGTAAAAAAATATTATACAGTTTAGTAATAAATAAAATACTAAGATCCTATATATATGTTATAAGTACACATATACACACACATACACAATTTCATTCTGACTGTAACTTCTATGTGTATATTTATGTAATTTTTTTACATAATTAAGTGATATTATTAATTACAATTTGAGGGACCTGCCTGACAACCCAGGCAGAAAGTCCAGAGAATTTAATTTGCAAGCCCTATATTTAACAAATAACTTTACAAATCACTATTAAACTGGTAGATGTTGTACTCGGAAGACTTTGTTGAACACAAATATGAATGTTTCAAAACAGTAAAACATATCACAATGATGAAATCCTCAGTGAAAGTGCTGTTTGTGTGTGGAAAATGCCAAAAACCCAAATATGAACGCTAACTTTGGCTGGGGTTTGTGACTAAGTGGCTACTAAAAAAGACTGGGCATACCCCATTTTGCATACCTTGGGTTGTCTACTTTTGTAAATGGTATGCCATAATGGGCTAATTTTCATACCTAAACTCCAATACCATATCACAAGCAACATAGGCCTTGCAAAACAATCTACCACATTTTAATGTGTAAAAATGGAAAAGGGCAAAGCCCTATATTTGACCCTGTAGGTTTCCATAAAACCTGTATATGGAGAGTACTGATGTACTTGTGAGCTGAACACAAATATGTATATTTTATTACAGTAAAATCTAACAGAATTATGACATTCACAATTCAAATGCAACGTATACCTAAGAAAACAACTTTTCTTAATTTCTCACACTTTTTCAGATTTGATCCATATACAATTATGTTTCAGATATACATATTTGATGTGAAATAAATGCCCAGTTTCTCCAGAACAAAATTATATATAATAAGTGTAGGTGCACTTAGTATGAAAGAGGTCAATGATGAACAGACAGATAGCACAAACCCCGGTTTTGTTTTCATTTTGTTTTGATTAGAACTTGTACAATGACCTCCATCTTTGAGGAGTTAGTTGCTATAATTTGTTGTTTGCTTAGTCAGTAAATTTACACTATTCAATATGTTAGTGCTTTAGAAATTCCAATATTTTTCATTTGTTTTGATTTTTCTGTTTAAAAGGGGTCTGCAACCTGATCTGATTAATTGTATATAGGATCAATTTAGAAGGATGCTGTCTACAGTAACATGATTAAATTCTGGATGAAACCAGCAAAGGAAAGTGATTTGCCCTGTTTGCATGTTCTTAAAAATAGTGAAGTAGGTGAATTAACACATGAATTTACACCAGGTGTTTTCATCTGAATCAGTAAATATAAGATAAACTATTTCTTTAGCACTATTACCACTTCTATATTTTTTTTTATTTTTTGTGTGTATTTTCATTGTGTTTATTATTCTCATAAGAGCAGGGGCGTCTCTAGAGCATTTGGCACCCGGGGCGGATCCTGTGTTTTGCACCTTCCTCCTCTCCCCCACTTTAAAATGTAAAAAACACCCACAATATTTTCAATG